TTTCATGCAATGCTTCTCCTTCGACTCCTAATGAATTCTACAACTGCATAAATGCATTTCACGTCATATTAGGCAAATAAACTGCCGTCAATTAAATAAAGTTTAGGGCTAATTGCCCGGTTAATCAAACGTTCGAAAGGTGTTAAGCTTAAATCCCGACAATATTGGCTAAAAAGCCTAGTTTAATCAATTAACTATGGTGAAATTGCCTTTATTTTCGAACACAAATCCGGCTTAAAGTCCAATTAATCAATAATTGTGGCTAAATAGCACTTAATAATCACGTTCTTTTTGGCAATAAAATTGCCTACATATGCAGGTTCAATTAATTACTTTTGGCAACAAAATGCCTATAAGTAAGATTAATTATTTCTTTTTAGCGGACAAATCGCTTTAAATTGAATTTTTTGGCAAATGCCTTGAATTAATCAATCATTCTGCGGACAAAGTCGCCTAAAAAAATCCACTTTTCGGCAAAATAAATTGCCTAAATGCAAAACACTTTTGGCTAGAAGCCCTTTACAAATCTAACACATTTTGAGAGCCTCCAAACACAAGCCTTTAAATAACATCCAATCTTTTGGCAAACAAATTGCCCAAATCACAAAACTCTTTGGCTAAAAAGCCTTAATCCATTTTATTGGTCACATAATAAAGCCCAAACATCAATTTTTGGCAACAATAAAGCCCAATCAAACACTTCTTTCTGGCAAACAATAAGCCCAATTCAACATTTCTTTTGGCAATAATAAGCCCCAATCAAAACACTTCCTTTTTAGGCAAACAAACGCAACGCTCAACAAAATCAATCAACCTTTTTGGCAAAATGCCCTAAACAAAATGCACAAAGCCATACCCACACACTCATGGCATTAAAGCATACCCATTTCAAACCCTTTTAAAAAGGCCTATCGAATACGTTGACTTTGATCATTCCAATTCAAACGGAAGTACGTAGGGCACGTTTTGGATTTAACCTCCGAGGCGGCAAGTCGGAAATCACCATAAACATTTTAATTGTCAAATTACATCATCACCTTGCAAAGCATTCATTCTTTGGTTAGTTTTATCAACATGGACATTGGTCTCGGGATCCACCTCGGGTCTTGCAATACCCATGCCTTAGACATGTGATAATTACCATCTAGTAAATTAGGTTAATTAAATTGGAGTTCACTTAGGAGTTTTCCTAGTTTACCCTAAAAATAATTTAAACTAGGTGGCGACTACATAATTCACGTTGCATTTCTGCCCTTAGTCACATTGCAATTCATATGCCTGATATTTGGGGATGGGTTTCACAGTTTGGCGACTTACACTGGGGAATTATGTAATCATTTTGCATTAAAGTGGAACTACAATTGTTGTGTAAAACTAACCTGCCCTTCCTTGTTAGGGTATGTATTTACGTATGGCTTTGTTTGCAGGGTACCCCAACAAAGATTAAGTATTCTTCTTTAAGAATGCTTAATAAAAAGAATTTGGACCTAATTGAAATATTACTTTGAAATCATTCAAATTTGTTTATTATATTGGCACGATTGAGGAATCCTTTATCTGCCATTGCATAAAAATGAATTTCAAAACTGAATTTCTTCTCTTTCTGTTCTCAAACCTTCTGAGTCACTGGATAGCAAAAGTAGCGCTGATCGGGCAAGTTCTCCCTCTTGATTATGATCGACGGACAGCCAAAAGCGTTCACTCCCTGTTACCGCCCTTACCATCCCTATCCTTTTGGGGACTGGCCCCATGGGCATGCGTACTGCCTCTGGACCCGCGCACGCGGAAAACTCTTTGTTTCACATGTGGTTAGGTTATATCCATGCTCAAGGTTCAAGGGCGTCCCTTATTAAGCCTAATTCATATAATTTGCGTCATAGCCTATAGAACATATCCCTTAGGACTGTATGCACCCAAATGATGTGAAGTCATATCATGAACCGCAGATTTTATTGACGTTGATAGTTGTTGCGCAGTCATGCATTCATCCCATACTCACAAAAAAAAGGGGCGGGTCTAGCGGAAAATGATAAAAAGGGAGAATTCTTGAAAAAAAAAAAACATTCCATTTTGAAAAGCTGGGAAATCACATTTTGTTCCCTTGAGACCTTTGAAAAATTACATTTTTTGTTCCCTAAGAACCTGAAAAGACTACATTTTGGGTCTCTAAAATTCCACATTTCAGTCCCTAAGCCCAAAATTCACCAATTTTGCTCCCAAAAGGCCCAAAAGTTCACATCTTGGCCCCAAAGGCCCAAAAATTTACCCAATTTGGCCCCAAAGGCCCAAAAACTCACATGTTGGCCTCCAAGGCACAAAAAATTCACATGGTTTGCCTCAAAGGCCCCAAAAATTTCAAAACAATTTTTTGGAGCCCCTTAAAAAGCCCAAAAAAAAAAAATTTTTTTTAAGAACTTAGTGCTTTCGAAAGCGAGGTCGTCCAGCCCTATAAGCACTCATAGCCTTACATATCACATCCCATTGGGTTCGTATCCTAGGGTGGTCCTAGGCATACCAACATTACCCTACCACCAACAGGGTCAAACCGCTCCATCTCACCAGGCGGTTCAACGTCCCAAATACTTTACCCATACCCACTACCCCTACCTCACCATGATCCTCAATACCTATGAAAAACACCTATAATTAGGATAGTCTAATCGTTTTTGACTATTGTCCTTTTACAGGTATCCCTTCCAAAGACCACCTGACTCGAAACCAACTGAGCTCTCACCCACCAAGATCCCAACAAACACCCGACTTGACACCAATGGACATCACTCGACTGACATCCAAAACCTCACTCGAACAACCTGGAAGGCCAGATATGGAGGCTAGAAATGAATGATGGCATTGGCTGACCTAGAGGACTGCCCCTAATAGCTGAACTTAAGGCGGTGGGTATCATGGAAATTGGGGCTTTCCGACCGGGGGAAGTGGAACCTATACCTACATTAATCAGGGTCCTGCTGCTGAACCAAACCAAAAACCCTGCCCTTAACCTGGATGACATGCCCTCCAGAACTGAGCTTCTAGAGCTGGAAGCTCAGAAAATGAGAGAGGAAACTAGAACTTTCCTGGAAAGGGTCTATTACTTGCCATTAAAGACACCACAAGGAAGTGGTGGAACATGGACTCACCTGTCCTTGTTCCCTGAAGCAAGGGTTAACCTTACAAAATTCAAGATGCCATAAAACATGGAACAAGTTTGATGGAAAAACCACTTGTCCCACAACGCATTCTAAAAATGTATGGGGTTGCCCTTCAAAAACCCGTTTGGCACTGCAACAGCGAGCTCCTTGCTCAGTTTATTTCAGCCAATCTTTGACTCGGTGCTGCATTTAAAGATGGGTTGTTAGCCTCGATCGGTCTAAGATTGAAGACCTGGGAAGACATTCTGCAATGCATATTAATTTTCCCAATTACCACTTATAAATATGGAGGTGGATTGTTTACATCAAAGGAGAGCTGCGAAACCACTAAACAAAAGGACCAAGAGCCCTTCTCCTCGTTTCCTTTCGGGGGACCCAAGGTTTGGAAGCCAAGAAAACTGGAACTCGAACATGATCAAAACCGACCCTACTGAAACAGGAACAAGTTGACATAATAATCAAGAATTTTACTGCCTGTCTACCAGTCACATAACTGCAAAAATAACACATACTTTGCCTACGTTTCCCAATCGCTCATCTGCGACTGCTAACTAAGGTGAAGACTTAATTCACAGTTGGGTCAGAACTCAAAGAAGACTCATACAAGAAGCCGAAAATCATGCTGCGGTCCAAGTGAACAAATTGAAATAGCCAGTATAATCCCCACGAATCCTTTACGGTGTTGGGTAATGGGAAACAATCAGCCAAGGATCGGCCAATATATCTGATCTCCGGCATGCTCAATCCTTTTTGGTGTTCAAACGAGAGGCAATGAAAGCAAAAAATTTACTTGAAGCCCTTAGAAGCAAGGCCTAGATTACTAAAACCCCTGGGCGCCGCGGAAATTTTTCAAAGCCAATGAATACTGTGAGTACCCATCAAGTACATGGCATAAGACCGAATCATGCAATGGACTTTAAAGCGTTACAAAGACCTCGTTGACAAATGGTCCATCATCCCCAAGAGCAAGCTGAACATCAACCAAATCGCCTTGCCTAACCATGGCGATTAATGCACAAAAAAGAAATTTGCTGAACAAGAATCGTTCGATCCTGATTCGAACTTTATCTTTAGGAAATGAATGAAGTTTGTGGTTTGAGAAGGTTGAGATCAAACCTCCAAAAGAACAAAGGAAATTCGTTCCAAAGACCAACAACAACCTGTCTTATCGATTTAAGCAATCGAGAAGAACAAAGTCACTAACAGTAAATCACAATTCCCTAGATTCCATCAACGTCCACCTTAAGCAGTCTATCTTTAGCGGTCTAGTTTTTTCTTTTTCATTTTCATTTTCCATTTCAAGTTTTTTTCATTCCAGTTCAAATTTTGTAAAAATCTAAGTGTCTTTTGCTACACAAATTTTGTCTATATCAATAAAAAGGGGATCAGTTTTACAGTTCCAAATCATGTTTATACTCTTTTCCTATGCCTTTTCCTGTGAAAGCACAAAAAAAAATTAGAAAAAAAAAATAATTAAAAAAATTAAAAAAAATGATTGATAAAAAAGATAATAAAAATTGGACAAAGAAAATGCATTCATTCTTGCTCTGCAATTCAATCAAAGCTGGCGGGCATGCCTAAGAAGCACCATTAAAGGGGAAGTTTTTTGAAGGGTAATCATGGAAAGGATCCAGCAAGGGTACGCAAGACTTCAAATAGTACCGAGGCAAAGCCGATTGAAGGGTTAGGGCCAGAATGATTTCTCCGAAACCCAGGAATGGAAAGATGCTCCGTACAAAAGGTGTGAATACCCAAATTTGAGGCTCAGAAAGCCTGTTTTCCCGGACTCAAACAGTCCGTGGCCAGACCGGAGGCTATTTCGGGAAGTCACCGAAAAAATATGTCAATATGGTGACTAACACGTCCGAAAAATTATCAGCGAGCGAATCGCGGAAACAGGTTACCGCGAAATTATTTTTCAGAGGTCCGAGGAACTCCCAAAAAGGGCCCTCGGAACGAGGCACGGTGCCTGCCGCCGGCCACGGCGGAGCCGGCCGCGAGCACGGCGGTGCCTGCCGCCGGGCACGGCGGGAGCCGCCGCCGGGAACGGCGGAAAGCAGACCGCCAAGCCTGAGCAAGCAGCAGCCGCCCCACTCCTGGGCAAGGCCTGCGCCCAGCTGCGGGCGAGGTCTGCCGCCCGCAGCGGGCGAGGCCTGCCGACCCGCGGCGGCGAGGGATTGCCCGCCAGCGCGCGCGGGGCCTGACGCCCCGCGCGGGCGGCCTGCCGCGCCGCGCGCGGCGGCCAGGCTGCCGCCAACGCGCGCGGGCGAGGCCTGCTCGCCCCAGCGCGGGCGGGCACAGGCCGCCCGCGCAAAAAAAAAGCGGGCGAGGCCAGCCGCAGCGCGCACGGGGCCTGTTCGGCCCCCGCGGGCGGAGGCGTGCCGCCCAGCACAGCGCGCCTGTCGCCGCTCAGGCGGGCCTGGCCACCCCACGCCCCTAGGCGGCACCTGCCGGACCCAGCTTGGAGCGACCACCTGCCGCCCAGGACCAAGGCAGGGCCTTGCCGCACCACCGACTGGGGCGGCAGACTGCCGCGCCGTCCCAGGCGGCACCCCCCGCCCCAGCTTGGCGGGCCTGCCGCCCCACACGAACAGGGCGGCAGCTGACCGCCTTTGGACCGAAAATTGGCCCTATAAATAGGCCCAATTTTCAGGTCCAATTTTTTGCACGGGCCTTTGTCTGTTTTGACGGAACGAATCCTTCTCCCTCTCACGCCTTCCTTGCGTTTTCTTTACGCTTTTTGACATTTTAATTATTAATTTTTATTGACAATTTTTAATTGTGATTATTTGACCACTAAAATTAAAATAAAATAAAAAATTAATTTAATATACCTAAACGAGGAGCTTAACCTGGAGTTAAGAAGTGGTCGACGATTGAATCAGTACGATAAAACGAAAACTCTGCCTATTTTAATTTTACACTTCATGCATGCTTCTTTTCTACTCCTTTAATAATTTCATATAATTGCATTAAACGCATTCACATTCAATCATTTAGACAAATTAATCCGTTCTTAAATTTTAAATTTGGATTAAGCTCAAATGCACCGGTTAATCAAATAATCAGCCGGTATTAAGTTTAAATCACGACGATATTGGCTAAAAAGAGCCTAGTTTAATTGATAAACTACGGATTTCAACTGCCTTATTATCGAACCAAATCCGGCTAAGTCCAAATTAATCAATAATTGTGACTAAAGCCTAAATCAACATTTTTTTGGCAAAATGCCTACAAATCAACCTTTTTTCGGCTAAAAGTCGTTAAAACCGAACCAATTATTTTGGCCGAAACGCACTTAAAATCAAATCTATTTTCGAACATAAACAAGTCGCTAGCTAATTGAACCATTTTGGGCCCAAAAGGCCTCAAAATTCACCATTTGGCCGACAATCCGCTCTAAATATAATCGCACATTGTTTGGTTAGACCAATTTGCCTAAAAACAACACCTCTTTGGCCCAAAGGCCTCAACAACTCACATCATTCTAGCCGACACAATCGCTTAACACATCGACCACCTGTTCTTGGTTTTAAAATGCCTTTCAAAAAATCAACCATTTGTAACGACAAATCGCTTAAAATCGACATTTTTGGCAAAATGCCTTAAAATGAACCAATTCTTCGGCCAAAGGCCCTAAAAATCAACCATTTTAGCGAACCAGAATCCGGCTTTAAAATCAATCTTTTGGCCAAAAATGCACTTAAAATCAATCAACCTTTCGATTTTAAAAACCGTAAAAATCAACCATTTTAGCGACGAATCGCTTGAAAATTAGACATTTTTAGACAGAAATAGCCTTAAAAATCAAACCATTTCGAGTTTAAAACCATAAAAATCAATCTTTTAAGCGACAAATCGTTAAATGAACCATTTGCACAAATGCCTCAAAATCAACTATTTTTGGCCCAAAATGCAACACTAAACAGAAATGCACAAAAGCTATACCACAACACTCAATGCCACAAAAGCATACAGCACACTCAATGCACCAAAAGCATTACACACCACTCAGCCACACCGAAAGCATACACACTATGCACAAAGCATACACAAAATCATGCAACAAAGCATAACACAAAATCATGCACAAAGCATACCACACAAAATGCACACAAAAGACATACACCAAAATCATGCACTAAGCATACATCACATCCCATGCAAGCATATTCATTCAAAAGCCCTCTAAAAAGAGCCATATTCAAACTACGTTGGCACCTTTGCATCTCTCCATTCAAATCGGAACCCTTCTAGTACGTTAGCACGTTCGGGATTATAACCCCGCTAAGCCGCCGCAAGTCTTGAAATCTCTCAAACATTTCATTAATCCTATCATTCACCTTGCAAAGCATCAATTCTCTCTCTTTT